TAGTTAAACCCGCACCAGCCCAGACCCCTTAACATTCCACCCAATACTCGCCTGTGCCCGTGATAAATCACACACAAATTAAACGCATTCTAACTGAAGCATCCATCAGAATATGAATTGAAAATTTGTGACTTCAAGAATTACAATCACGAAATGAAACGGTTACGCTTTCTTCAGTACGAATATGAATTCACAGACATGACTTGATTGTCAAAAACATGTCATCACTTCACAGGCATTATTTACTGAGCAGAAGAAACACGCCACTGAACTGAACCAGGACTAACCCAGGACTGAACCAGGAGGACCAAACCAGAACTGAACCAGGACTCACTGTCGGGACGGGCTCAGATGTGTGCCCATGTAGATCCTTGGGTGATCACAATAAAAAGGTCCAGCGCAGAGGTCTTGCCACACGAAGGTAAGTGCCGCCGTTGCCCGATTGCGCTTTGTGAATACCCTGCTCCGGGCTCAGGGTTCTCTCTTTTAAGTCCAAGATTAGTCCTGGTTAAGTCCTGGTATAGACCTAGTGTAGTCCTGGTGTAGTCGTGGTTTAGTCCTGGGTCCAGGGCCCATGTGTAATCACTACCCGCCTGCATACCTGCCCGTAAAATTCCACAAAGTTAAAACCCGCTCGTTTCAGCACCTATTTGCCTGTACCCGGTGCAGGAATCTGCCTCAGAGCAAGTAACATCAGGTGTAAAACTTTGATAGTTTTTGCTTGAGTTCCTGAGTTGTTTTTCCAACTTCTGCTGCATTCAGGTGCATTTTTAACTAGGAAAAAAGAGCATTGTTATGGCATATGAAGTATGACAAGGCGTATTAAAAGTATCAGTGTGACAATATAGAAATGTTTGCTGTAGACGTTCACCAAAGCAGTGAAGTTTTCTCGCAATGGCAACAAGTTCCTAGCCTGTTTTGAAGTTATTCTAGTTCAGACCCTGACATTTGTGGATAACCTGCCTGACTTCCTGCCGTTTCTTTTTCTACAATCTTACAGCTGCGATGTAAAATTCTCCCTCTCCATTCTCCAGCCCCAATAACAGTCGTAAAAGTCGAATCCGCTCGCGCAATGGGCCATAAACCGGGTCGCGCTGAAGGTGATTTCCGAAGCCTGCATTCTCAAACGGACCATTTTCGCCATTGCCGTGGAAAAAAGTCCAAATTCGCAAATGGAAATGCAGCCGGTGGGATGGTAAAGAGGGAGAGAGAGAGAGATGGAGAGAGACTTGACCGCTTATAACGCAATTTGGGTCAACGTGGAGAAGGGCCAGTGGTATTTTGAGTTCTCATCGCCCGGAGTGACTCTGCGATGGAGAGATGGGAACGTGTCACCATGCACAAGTACAAAAGGCATTATGTTCGGCCAATCAGACGTCTTCTCTCATGGGAGGGCGTTTTTTTTATAATGTTATGAGGTGGTCCAGGGGTAGAACAGAATAGAAATAATGTGCTATGACCATTAAAGCTGCATTGTGTAACTTTTCTGGTGAAGTAGATGTTACTGCTTTGTCTGGAATGTTTCACAGTATGGTATTAAACCTTTCTATCTTCATGGACTCCAAACCAGACCGAGTTACAGGTCAGATCTAGGTATTTTTGAGCTATAAAACCACCTGTAACTGTATAAAAAGTAAAGTAGAGCTCTTTAATGTCACACTGTGGAACATTCCAGGCAGAGAAATGACATATACATAGAAACAAGCAGCAAACAAGCACCTTCTTGTCTCCATGGAGATGATATTGCTTTGTCTAGAATGTTCCAAGGTATAGATTAAGCCTATATATGACTATAGGCTACATTACAGGTCAGATCTGTGGAGAGGCAACCCTATTCACAGACAGAATTATTGTATTTTTGAGCAATAGAAACACCTGTAATGAATAAATGCTTTACAGTTTAGTTTAATGTCACACCATGGAACATTCCAGTCAAACAAACAACAACTTTAACCCAAACCAAATAAAGTAGAGCCTTCTAATTTGGTTCGGGTTTAGACCTGGTATAATCCTGGTTTAGTCTTGGTTTAGAAATGATCTGGTTTAGTCCTGGATTACATATTATTAGGGGTGCACAGATTCAGCTTCAGTTCCAATACTGATTCTGATACTATGGATTTAAAGCTGCACTATGTAACTTTTTGTTACACATTTGTATCTGTGGTCACTGTTCAGCCTGGAATGTTCCACCGTATGACATTAAATAACTCTACCTTACAGTTATTCAGTTGCAGGGGGTTTTATAGCTCAAAAATACCTAGAAAAAGAGGTATTCTGACGGTGAGTGGGGTCGCCGCTCCACAGATCTGACCTGTAACTTGGTCTGGTTTGGTTTCCATGAAGATAGAAAGGTTTAATGCCATACTGTGGAAACATTTCAGACAATGCAATAAGACCTCCATGAAGAAAAGCATTAGAGGGACCCTCCGCCAGAAAAGTTACTCCTGGTTCAGACCTGATATTGTAGTTTTACTTTTGACCTTTTTCAGTCCTGGTCCAATCCTGGTTTAGCCTTGACTCATTCTTAGTTCTGGTTCTAATTAAGTCCTGGTTCAGACCTGATATTGTAGTTTTAGTTTAGAGCTCTTTTAGTCCTGGTCCAGTCTTGGTTTAGCTGCAAATTAGACCGGTTTGTGGTTTAGTCCTGGTTTAGCCTTGACTCATTCTTAGATCTGGTTCTAATTAAGTTCTGTTTCAGACCTGATATTGTAGTTTTAGTTTACACCTCTTTTAATCCTGGTCAAGTCCTGGTTTAGTCCCAAATTAGACTGGTTTGAGGGTTAGTCCTTGGTTTAACCACTTTAGCCTTGACTCATTAGCTCTGGTTCTTACTTAGTTCTTGTTGGAACCTGATATAGCAGTCCTAGTTTAGTCCCGTTTTAGTCCTGGTTCAGACCTGATATTGTAATCCTTGTTTAGACCTCTTTTTGTCCTGGTCCAGTCTTGGTATGGTCCCAAATTAGACTGGTTTGAGGTTTAGTCTTGGTTTAACCTTGACTTATTCATAGCTCTGGTTTTGATTTAGTCCAGACCTGATATCCTTGTCCTAGTTTAAACCTGCTTTAGTCCTGGTTCAGACCTTTTATAGTCCTGGTAGTCTGGAGAATTACACTCTTTTTACACATTCACCACTCTATTCCATTGGGCCCAGACCTATGACCTCGTAACATCATAACAAGGTGACAGGTCCTTTGCGGTGATGTAATGTTATCTAGTGCTGCTTTATACCACAGTAATATGACTAGGGATTCTCCTGTCTGCGCCACACGCACATTACTTCACACTTTAGCCCCTTGTGGACACTTCTTATTGTTTAAAGAGCTCATATTACGCTATTTTCTGATGTATTATGTTTCCTCATCACAAACAAACCTGGAGTTGTGTTTCGTTTCATTCACACATGTTGAACACACAAACCCTGCAGATTTAGCAGAAATATCGTGATATCGTATCGTCAAAGTTTGCACAATAATATCGTGGACCATCACAATATATTAAATTACAAGTCTCAAGAGTTATGGTGCAGCAATAGCTAGAAAGAGACAGAGTGAACTACATAGACCATGATCCTTTGCTCCATTTCAGTGCAAACTACAAGAAGAAATAACAGTTCCAAGCACTTTTAAGTCTTAGTTCTCTCAATAACATCGTGGACCATCACAATATATCGAATTACAAGTCTCTTTGCTTAAATTAAGAGTTATGGTGCAGCAATAGCAAAAAAAAGACTACGTAGACCATGATCCTTTGCTCCATTTCAGTGTAGAAATAACAGTTCTAAGCACTTTTAAATCTTAGTTCTTTGGATTAAGTCTTGTCAAGGCATTATAAGAGGAAAAGTAGCAATTAACAGTTTTGTTAGTCTCCACAAAATAATCGCAATAAATATCATATCGTGAGGTTCATACTGTGACAATATTGTATCGTGAGACTTGGAAATCATTAAACCAAGGACTGGATAGCATTAAGAAGTTGCCGATACGATACATACCTCAATACCTGGGCCACGATACGATATATATCTCGATACAGTGAGCTTTCGATTCAATACGATATATTTAAAACTGATTTGACATGAGTCTAAATCATGGCTGTGATACTAAAAGTGTTTGTTAAACCACTTCTTGTGCAAAGTTAAAATGAAACACAAACATTTAAATCCTCAAAACAGTGAAAATGTCAAATGTGTTGCATAAATGAGTTTCCTTCCTCTAAACAAGCAACAAAACTGTAGCACTGAAACAAAATAATTAAGTAAAATATACCAAAAAATACTCTTACTGTACTTACTGATACTGTATCATCACATTAGGCGATACAATATTTCAATATTTTCGCACACCTCTAGTTACTGCCTTAATATTTAGAGACAGGAAACTGTGTCACGTCATGTTATAAGTGCTCCACAGCGTTTTTAAACTCCACACACTTCCACTAGAATCATTTGGATCATTTCAGCCCTGGAATTGCCAATCTGTACTTGAACGAAAGGCAAAAGGTCGCTGTTAACTTGAAAACAGCCGAGGAGACGTAAACAGACTAATACTGAAGAATTACTCAAACAAACTACAACTCCAGGTTTGTTTTTGACGCGGTAACAACATTATAACACGACTACGAGCTCACAATATGGGACCTTTACGCACAATTGTAATGCTAATCTACCCTCTCAGCCTCACAGGAATCCAGAGTGTTTGACAAAAGCAACCTGCAGCTATTTATCTTAACACATCCTGCTAACTGCACCGCTTAGCATCTGCAGGCTAGAGATGTTTTATTGCTCTACAGGAAGAAGCCAAGCCCAACGCAACTCACCACCCCGTAATGGACTGCCAAGGCAAAATTAGATTCAACCAATAGTGCACACGGCAATGGAATCACAAAGTACCAGTGTGCGTCTTTCTCTTCTCTTTCTCTCTCTGTGTGTGTGTGCCAGTGTGGAGCTCTGCGTGCATAATTCAAAGCCTATAATAACATTTGTGTATTGTCTTGTCACTTACCATGTTCACTTCTGAGACCATGTCGATACTGGCCACGTCTATGCTCATGCCGACGGCGACGGGCGCTCCTGGGAGAGAATTTGGTGAAAACAGGATTTGAGCTTCACGTGAATGCCGCCAAAAAAATAACAGAATTACGCATGTCGGTGAGGGGAGCGTGAGGGAGGTAGGGGTGGATGGAATACAGGGGGGGTGATTGGGTTAATTGGGTGCGTAAACATACCTCCAAAATCTGGCCTTAATCGTATGTCATAGCCCTTCAGCAGCTTGTCCACCGTCTCCTTCACGAAAGACATATTGCCTGGTTCATTGACGCTGGAACGAGAAAGAGACACAAAAATATAGGGGTACGCTGGTGAAAAATGACCACTTCTCACCTTCACTTGCACGGGCTCCATGCAATAACCTTGACTCGAGCCAAAATGACATATGGAGACCACTCACCTTCGCGCGCAACATATAATGGACCCAACCACCAAAAAGGAGAAGACGCGAAATTTGCGAACCCTATGCGGAGCCAACATATCCTTAATTGTTGTTCTTAAATTCTGGATCTCTCGTTGTTTATAGCAACAAGAAGAAGAAGAAGAAGCAGAAGAAGCAGAAGAAGAAGAAGAAGAGGGAAACGGCGGCAAACCCCAGACAAATCAACAGACGACGTGCACGCTGCCGTACACCAGCGCGATTTTAATCCATTGATTGACCAAAAAAAAAAAAAAAAAAGAATCAGAGTCTGGACCGAGAGCGAAAAAGTCAGCGGCTGAGATGTGAAATACGAGCTGACATCTCGGCGCTGACAGGAGAAAAAAGAGTGGTTTTCCCTGCGCTGCGCTCGCGGTGTGCGCTCTGGAGGAGAGGAGAGGAAGAGGAGAGGAAGAGGAGAGGGGTTTTACAGGGGGAAGCAGCCGAAGCGCATATTGATGAGGAGACGGGTGCGCGGGGATGAGACGACCGCTACTGCCGCTGCTGCTGGTGGCTCGGGAGCGGCGGAGGCTCGTTCGAAAGAGAGATGGAGCCCCCCGACACTTACGCACTGTAAAAAAATATATATACAGTACACGCCACTTGATGCGGTGGACGGATATTCACGAGATTTTTGTTTCTCCACGAGCGTAAATTCATTGACAACCGAGCCTATAAACATTCATACATGCGTTTATTTTTTCTTTTCGTTTGTTTGTTCAATCGCGCACCGCGTAAAGCCAGCGCGTTATATTGGACATGTGTTGAGTTTGCGCAAGTTAAGGCATAGTTAGGACTCAGTTTCCCAGAATGCAACTCGACAGGCCGGTGCCCAAATGTAATGAGATGACGTGATGGGGCAAGATTGGAATTTCAATTGCAGGTTGTGTGTATTTAGTGGAAAAAAGGAGGTGCATATATGGATTTGAGTTTCGCTGATTCTTTTTTCCCCCCAAATTAAGCTGGTTTATTACAGTTACAAAGCAAATAAATAAATAAAAATGAATCCTTAAAGTCAATTATTGTTATTCACTTATCAACTTTTCCAATTGCTCACAAAAAAACAGAGTTAAAGTTGCACTATGTAACTTTCACGTCATGGAGATCTTATTGGTTTGTCAGAAATGTTCCACAGTACGGCGTCCAACATCAACATCGTGTTTTATACATTTATTCAATTATGGGTGATTTAATTGCTTAGAAATACCTTGAGAAACATGCATTCTTATCATTAGCTGACTCGCCTCTCCACAGATCTGACCAGTAACTTGGTCGAGGATGTTTAATGTCATATTGTAAAACATTCCAAGCCAAGTGGTAAAATCTCCATGGAGACCAGGAGGTATAAAAGAAATCCCAACCAGAAAAGTTACACAATGCAGCTTTAACACGGAGTAAACAGTGAGAGATACTCCCTACAACTGTACAACAACTCGCCCATATGTAACAGATAATACTCCCTACAATTGTACAAAAACACTCACCCTTATGTAATAGATAATACTCCCTACAACTGTACAGCAACTCACCCTTATGTAACTGATAATACTCCCTACAACTCTACAACAACTCACCCTTATGTAACAGATAATACTCCCTACAACTCTACAAAAACTCACCCTTATGTAACAGATAATACTCCCTACAACTGTACAAAAACTCACCCTTCTGTAATAGATAGTACTCCCTACAATGTTTTATTTTACTTGTACATATATATTTGATATAATTGTTGTTATTTATTTTGGATTTATTATTACCATTTATATTTTTGCTCTTCATTATTATAATATACTATGATGTGTGAACTACTGTGTCCAAATAATTTCAATTATTGATCAATAAAGTTTGTCTAATTCTAGTCCAACAGAAGATTTTTTGTAGTGATCACGGCAACATTCACTCATAAAACAACCAGAGAACTACAGCCAGCGCGCAGAATTTACCAGACCAATTTGCACATTTTTTACAGTGCACCCCCCAGCTCTAGCGCCAATCCCCATCCCCTCGCGCTTCCTGTAAAAATGGCGGGACCCTGACAAGCACGGAGCGGCGACAGGCGGCATCGATCACCCGGTTAATCGATGCTCGTGATAGATTAGCCTATTCCTCTTGCGTAATGGCCTTTTTCCTTAAGTAAAACGTAAGTCGGGGGGCGCATGAATTATTAAACTCCAGATATCCCCCCCAATGCCGCGGTGCAAATCCCGCGGATAATTGGACACGGTGCGCGCACACACAGGGGCTACGTTTGACGCACACCGCTGGCTCAGCTAGAGAAAGTCAAACATTAACATAAATACGTGTTTAGGGCATTTGTCGGTGCGGGGTCCTTACCTCGTGTCGTAGATCGCGTACAACTTCTTACTTCCGTCAACAGTGTTCCTGCAAAACAGACAGGAGCTTTAGGTTTGTGTTGATGACAGGGGCACTTCAACGCGCTCTAGTCACGCGCGCTACTCAAGGTCTAAAGGGTGATGACAAACAAAATGACCATATAAAATGCAAATTGTGCTGTTGACTAGTACAGGGAACGAAGTAAAAGTAGTAAAGTAGCCTACTGTACTTACATAAAAAACGTATATATGCTTTACTTACTTATACTTTACCACACTACATTTGAGAGCAGGTGTCTGTACTTTCTTCTCCACTATGTTTTTGAACTGGCTTGAAAAGTAAAAGTATTTTTTATTGTTTGAGACCTTTGTAATTTGAGCAAACAAAAATTGACAAATATAAACCCAGATTCAATTGTTTCTCTTGATCAAAAGACCTGAAAATCTGTACAAAATGTTTTTACTTTTCATTCTTTAAGTACATTTTTAAACGTGTACTTTAATATTTATTTAATAGATTTTTACATGAAACTTTTACTTATTTATTAATTAAATAATCATTGCATTTATATAGCACCTTTCACGATGCCCAAAGTTCTTTACAGTTCATTATTCATTAATTCCACCCCGGTGATGGTACGTTACTGTTGTAGCCACAGTTGCCCTGGGGCAGACTGACTAAAACAAGGCTGCCAATCAGCCTCCTCTGACCACCACCAACACTCACACACTACACTGTTATACTAGGTAATGTAGGTGAAGTGTCTTGCCTATGGACGACATCGAACTTGTTAAGTACTTGTAAAGTTTTTTGTGAATATTTTGAGATCTACTAAAGATTTGTGCTGAATTTTGTTCAGTTTTTAGCAGAAACAATTGATTTTTTTTCATCTGTTTTTATTTGTGTATTTTTGTTTGCTCAAACTACAAATGTGTGAAAAATAAGCCCTCACCTTTTCAGCAGGTCTCAAACTATTTAAAAAAAAACAACAAAAAAACACCTTTGTTCAGTTAAAAAAATGTAGTGGAGATGCTTAAAGTAAAAGTAAAAAGTATCCACTGTAAAATATATTTAGTAAAGTACACCTAAAATGTATACTTAAGTACAGTACTTTTACTTTTTTAGATTCCACCACTGCCCGCTACCCAATACACCCCACTAAAACAGTGCCCAAAAGAAATTCTTTGCATTTTTCAGGCTCACCTCACAGTGGTCATAATGTTTTGGCTGATCTGTCCATGCGTGTGTCAGTATTTCATGTGATTGGTGTTAACACATACACACATTCACTGTACAGAGGCTCTTGTTTACTGTGTCTCTATGGTAATTTTATTCAATAACTACTTAGCATTTGAATCTCATAGGCTACTGTAATAATACTAGTAGTTTTTTCCCCCATCACTGTCTATTGTAGCCCGTGCAGCCGTAATCAGTTGGAGCTTGTTTTTCTCCTTTTCTCCCACTTCGTAGCTCGCGGTGCTGCCTGAATTTTAAAACAGTGGGTTGGCTTGAGGGCAAATATTGAAAGTCTATTTCCTTCGGGAGCCCCCCTCGCTCCCTCTCCCCTCCGCTGCCTTTCATCCCCTCACTCACACGCGGGGGTTTCTGCTCCTTCCCTATTCCCGCATCAGCACCAGTCCGACACTTGTCCAAACGGTCATACAGGCGCGCGCACGGGAGCTGTCCACACGCGCCGAGGTGCTGAAAGCTCGCTCCCGGGGGGGACAGGCGCGCCGCTGTTTGGACAGAATAGTGCTCGGTCTGGTTTGGGTTGGTTCACACGCTGTTTCACGCACGTGCACACGCCACACACACACACACAAGCACGCGCACGCATCTGATTAAAACGAGCGGGGAGGTTAAAACGCGTGCGGTAATTACGGCGTGCCAAATGTGGAGCGCGGCTACCCTCTTATGGCAAACTTCAGCAGGATCAAGATATGGATTTTTCTCGAGATCTTCCACATAGATAAACGCACGCATGTTCTCTGATATAATACATGCTAATTAAGTATTCCACAGTTAAAAGGCTAATATTTTGTTTACGCCAATTTGATAATTTACGCATGGATTAAACTCACTGTCATCATAAGCGTAAAAATAGGTTTCACGCCAAAATAATACATATTATTTATGGGTTTAAAATGCATTTATCAATCCTTTGTGTAGTTTAGCTCTCTTTAAAAGTGCACTGCCCAATGGAGATGTTTTTTGCTTTGCCTGAAATGTTCCATGGTATGACTTTAAACATATCCATCTAACATTTACTCATTACTAGGGGTGTAACGATATCCAGGTCTCACAATACGATATCGTCACGGTATGAACCTCGCGGTACGATACTGATTGCGATACTGTGGGAAAGAACATGATTAGGGATATAACAATATCCAAATCTCTCGGTACGATATTTCCACAATATACATCTCATGGTACGATATTTATTGCGATATTTTGTGGAAAACTGTGAATATTTTGTTGGACTTTTTCCTCTTAAAATGCCTTGACAAGATTTAATCCAAAGAATTAAGACTTAAAAATGCTTAGAACTTATTTCTTCATGTAGTCGGCACTGAAATGGAGCAAAGGATCATGGTCTATGTAGTTCCCTCTGTCTTTTTTAGTTATTGCTGCACCATAACTCTTAATTTAAGCTAAAAGTCTTGTAATTTGATATATTGTGATGGTCCACGATATTATTGTGAGAACTCTGATGATACGATGTCACGGTATTTCAATTATTGTTACATCCCCAGTCATTACCAGTGTTTCTATTGCTCAAAAATACAATAAATTGTTCTGTGAATAGGAGTGACTCTCCACAGATCTCACATGTAACGTAGCGTAATGCTGTGACCTGCTTGTCTCCCTCGTGATAAATAGATTTAGTCGGTACTGTGGAACATTCTAGGCAAAGCAGTAACATTTCTATGGGGACAAGCAGGTGGCGGACCCTCCACTAGAAATGTTAAGCAGTGCAACTTTAACTTTAAATCGATCGTGTGATAATAGGCGATATGCCAAACCGCGTGCCAAAGGTTAATGCATTTTTACGCATTACGCATTTACGCACACATTTTAAGGAAAAGGTTGGATTATTGACACTGTAATGAATAAAACGACGTTAGCAACTTTCATTTTAGTTTCAATGTCATCTGTTTTAACTATAACAGATGTGACATAAGTGAAAAATAAAATGAATTCACTCTTATTTCTACGTTTACTTTACATTTACGCTCCTTGTTCTTCTATAGGACAACAAAACGAGCGTTATTTGTGTCAAACCGGGTGCGTAAAACCCCTCTCCACCTCCTCCCCGCACAGCCCGATGGCGCCTCCTCTTTTATAACGCACCAATCGGGAGCAGCTATTAACAAAATATCGGCTGCAGCAACTCGAATCTCTCGGTCACCCTCTCTCCAACGCTCCGAGGCGCACCGTCACGCGGGTTAATGTCAGTCCTCTGTGTTTTCTTGAGCTCAGATTTTGGCTTTGCTCCGGCTGCGGTTGTTTGAGATGGTGCCGCAGCCGCCACAGTGACAAAGTCGAAGCATCCAGCCCCAGCCAGAGCACTTGAAAATGGGCATACGCTGATTGGAGGAGCCGAGAGGGAGAGAGAGAGACAGCGGTGAAGACGTTATAGACGAAGAACCGGGTGATTGAGGCTATACCCCGCGCGCTTGGAAAGAAGGACGTACAGAGACCACGCCATGGACACGCACTCAGGTTAGAACCGGTTCTTCTAAGCTCCCTCACAACACGAGGCAGGTTTGATTGAAATTGACCTAAAGGAAAACGGGGGTAAAAGGAAATATCCCGAAATGCAACGCGCTTTTTTCTTTTACACAACATTGCAGATAACTATTGCTTTTTTTGTAACACGAATGCCCCGGTTCATTTCGGGTTAAACCGCTTCTAAATAAATACACCAGTTTATTTGTAATGGTGCAAAGAGTTGGGGGACTTCTCCTCTTGTGGCGTAGACTTTTATTTTTTTAATTAATTATTTCTTTTAATGTCATCTTTTTTTGCAGTTTTGCACGTGAGATCGGCTAACATCCCGGCTCTGGCATTGGCCGTGTTGTCGTATGTTCACCTCTGTGGTTGCCAGATAAGGTAAGAGAGAAAGTTTTGATCCGTGTATAAGTCAGAGTCTATTCCTTTTGATTGATCGGGCCTGTGTACACATCTTAAGAGTCCGGAAGAAAGCCAAAAAATCTAGGTCAAGGCTCTCCACAAAACATCGTCTTCTCTCAAGAGTGAATCCATTGACTTTTTAGTCTTGGCAGCGGTTCAGATTTCAGATAACGTTACACTTGCGGTTGTTTGACACTGGATTTTGTGCCCAAACAGTGTAATTACTCTCTCCAAGATCCAATAGAGCTGAATCTCATTTATTTTAAAGTCCTATATTATGCAAAATTGACTCTTGTGCACTTTAAATTATGTTGTAATGTTGTTACCTTCTCAAAAACATACCTGGGGTTGTGTTTTGTTTCATTCACATGTTTGAGTAACCCTATATTATTAATCTGTCTACATCTCTAAACCTCAAAATGCTCTGTTCAACTTGTGATGTCATGTAGTGGTAGTTTTTTTTATGTTAACAGCTCCATTTATCTTTAGTTCAGTAGAGATGTGAAATTCCAAGCCTGTAATCATCCAAGTGATTCTAGTGAAGGTGTATGGAGTTTAAAAACACAGTGGAGCTCTTCCTGTTTTACCACATGACATCACAAGGTGGAGCAGAGCGTTGTCAGTTTGAAATAAGAACTCAGAATCTAAATATGCTGGACAGTTCCAGGTATCTTTGTGATGAGAAAACATTAAACATAGATCAGAAAATAGCGTAATATGGGCTCTTTAAAGGTGCACTGTGTAACTCGTCTGCCGGAGGGTCCGTCACCTGTTTGTCTCCATGGAGATGTGCCGAGAATGTTCCACAATATGGTCATAAACTTACAAATCTCCATGGAGACTTGCAAGCCAAATTACAGGTTAGTTTTGTGGAGAGGCGACCCCACTCACAGTAAGAACAGATATTTTTC